CAAAGGCCAGAGTCATCTCTATTTTCTGAAGCGGCTGAGGTCCTTCAACATCTGTCGAACAATGCTCAGGATTTTCTATGAGTTTTTTGTGGCCAGTGCTATCCTCTATGCTGTTACGTTCTGGGGGAGCAGGTTGAAAGTCGCAGACGTCAACAGACTCAATAAACTGATCCGTAAGGCCAGTAGTGTTGTGGACATGGAGCTGGACACCCTTAGGTGGTTCTTGGAAAGGCAAATGTTGTCCAAGATTAAGACAATGTTGGACAATACCTCCCGCCCACTCCATGGCACACTGGTTAGCCAAAGGAGCACGTTCAGTGAGAGACTGAGCTTACCAAAAAGCACCACTGAACGACACAGGAAATCATTCCTGCCTGTGGCCATCTCCCTGTACAACTCCTCCATCTAACACACTGTAAACACTGCAATAGTTAAAGCCTTTTGCACACGCTCTTTTCTAGTCTGTGATATTTCTGTTAATATTCTTGATATTTATTTATAATCACCTCTGTCAGTCCATGATATTTGTTATTGAGCGATTTGTATATATTGTGCATATTTCTTAAATTTCTTAAATCTGTAACATATTGTAATTTTAAATAGTAAAGTATGTTTCTGTTACTGGTCTGTTACTGTTCTGTTACTGGAGCAACTGTAAACTACTGTAATCCTTAGGGATTGCTAAAGTATGCTGATTCTGATTCTGATTTATAACTTGGAGTTTAGCCAGGGCCTGGATCCTTCAGACTTGACAATCAGCATTCCAGCAGTACACGTAATGAAACAGCATTGGCCAATAGGAGAGGCTCACAGAGTATATATGTAGGCAGCCTCAGTAAGCCAGAAAAAAAATTACTTGATTTATAGTTTTATGGTTAATGACCAAAATGACTCCTCAAAATCCTAAAATGCTGACAGTAAAAAAAAAAAAAAAAAAAAAATATGGAGAAGGTGAGTGCAGCAAAAATTCTTCCTTCCTCACGATTCATTTTGTTTTATAGACAGAAAAGAAGGGTGATTGTAGATTTTAACTTATTTAATATTGTATATTTCTCCAGTTTTTCTCTATATTTACAGCAGTTTTATTGATTTTGTTCATCTGTGTTCATCTTGCACATCAGGTAACAGGTTATTTCTCTCTGTTATGTTGCAAAATGTTGCATATCTAAACAACATATCCAGTATTTTTCAGATCATACTGTTACTTTTAATATGTTTTTTGCTTCAGTACAATGTGTAATAAGTATTAATAATCACATTTATTCTTCCCTCAGTGGAGGAAAACCTCTGGACCCACAATTCAAAAATCGTGTCTGGTGGTGTCACCTTTCACTGGTCCAATCATCCAAAAAATCGTTGATAAAACGTGCCTTCCTCAGCAACTCACTGTAAGTATGAAACAAAAACTAAATGTCAATTTTAGGGACTTTTGGTTGCTTTAATTATAATAACATTTTATTTTTTTCTGTTTTTTTTTTTTTTTTT